TCATTCAGTCAACATATATTTACCATCACTGTAATGTGCTGACAGATTGGGCTGCACTAGAGATATGAAAAGTAACATCACAATTGGTAAAATGCCTTGCTCAAAGGTGAGCTATTAGAATTAGGAAGAGTATGTAGGTCTTCCAACCTCAGTGGTCTTCTTGCAGAGTGTTGAATATACCAAGATCTTGCCCAGTGGGGCCCTTGGCTCTTTTAGTTTCCCACTGCCCCCAGGTCTGCGCAAGGCTGTCTGTTCATCCTTTGGAGCTCCAATCAAAGAAGCTTGGCTTGATCATCCCACTTAAAGCCTCTAAGCCTCCTTCCCACAGACGATGAGAAAATCAGGCCCTCCATAATCAAAATAACTCTACATCAAATCTTCTGAAAGTTAAAAAGTCAGTGAATACGAATACCCTTAGCGTTTTATTTCCTGAAAGTCCTACTCCCTTGAAGGAAGGCTAGGAATACTGTGACTCCCCCTCAAATTATGTCTAAATCTCCTTTCAGTGAATATTTTACTTTGTCTACTATAATTCCTCATTTCTTTTTAAGTGTTTTATTTTGAAATAATTTCAAACTTTTAGAAAAGTCTCAATAATAGCACAAATAATCCCCATATGCTCTTGGTTCAGATTCACCAAATGTTAATGTTTTAATATATTATTTATCATTGTGTATGTAAACGTGTGTGTATGTGTATGTGTGTGTGTTTTTCTACCTGAACTGTTTGGCAGAAAGCTACAGACATAAATACTTGAGTGTATTTCTATCAAAAAACAAGGACATGCTCTTACATAACCACAGTACATTTATTAAAATTTAGAAAAGTACTATTATACCCATCTAGTATGTAATCTATGGATCTTATTTAATTTTCATCAGTTGTCCTAATAACATCCTTTATAGCAAAATAGAAAAAAACAATTATTTTGTACTACTCAAGGATACAATCCAGGACCATGAATCCCCCTTGATCTTCCTTAATCTGGAGCAATTCCTCAGTATGTCTTTGTCTTTCATAACTTAATGTCTGGAAGAATATAGGCCAGTTATTTTGTAGTATGTCTTTCCATTTACCTTTCTCTTATGTTCCTTCAAGATAGATTCATGTTATATATTTTTGACAGGAATTTCACCAATGTTGTCTTCTTCTCATTGCATCTTTTCAGTTGGCATACAATTTCCATTTGTCCAGTTCCTGGTGACGTTAACTTTGATTACTTGGTTAAGGTGCCATATCTTTCCACCTTAGTTACTATTTTTTTCCCGTGTAACAAAATATATCTTGTGGAGGGAAAACGAAAGGAAGGAAGGAGTCACTGCTCCCAGGCAAGTTTGAGATCTAGCAAGGCAAATTCCATTAGGTTTCAAGGCCTGGGACTAATCCTCTGGACCTGAGACTCGGCCCCTGAAGTTATTCTTTCTTCTTCTTGAAATATATAGCATGGGGGCCAGCCCAGCGGCATAGTGGTTAAGTTCGCATGCTCTGCTTCGGCAGCCCGGGGTTCTCAGGTTCAGATCCCAGGTGAGGACCTAGCACCCCTCCTCAAGCCATGCTGTGGTGGCATCCTACATAAAATGGAGGAGGACTGGCACAGATGTTAGCTCAGTGACAATCTTCCTCAAGCAAAAAGAAGTGGATTAGCAGCAGATGTTAGCTCAGGATCAATCTCCTCACACACACACACACAAAAGAAATAAATTGCACGTTTTCAGATAAGTAGTTTTATCATCCTGTTTCCTGCCTGTATAATTTTGGAAGTCTTCTGGCCTTCCTTTATTTCATCCTGTCTCTGTACCTTTTGATTCAAACTGGCATGATCTCTGCTCATGTAACATTCTCAAAAATCTTGTGGGTTTCCCAAGCATGTCATAAAAAGTCATACATTAGACAAAGGGGTCCTTCACAAGACCCCTTCCTGGATAACCTCATCTCTATTCTTGGCTTCTGCTGAGATGGCTGAAGGGATCCAGGAGTCACACACCTAATCTCTTCAAAGAGCTCCTGTGTGATCCTTTGATCCTTCTGAAACACGAGCAAAACGTTATCCAATCACACCCTTGGCTTTCTCTTCAGAGTGCTCTTTCCTAACAGTAAATCTCCTAATTTTAGTGTCTTTTGTAATATGGATTGACTGATAATTTCCCAAATTACCAAGTCCTGGTTCCTTTTTTGCTTAACAGTTCTTCCCTCAATCCATCTGTTTCCTCTCACATTTTACTATCAGACACCATGTCTTCAACTCTTTGCTTTGATTTCAACACTAAGGTTTCTGCCACTATATAACAAGGATTAGCTTTCCTCCAGTTTCTAATAAGATGTTCCTCATTTCCTTCTGAGCCCTCACTAGCAGCTCTTTTTACATCCATATTTCTACAAACAGTTTATGGTGATTTAGATATTCTCTAAAATGATATATTTTCTCTACCATGCCCCTCAATCCCTTCTAAGCCTCTCTGACAGAGTCTTTAACATCAATAGTTCTACTAACTGTCTGTTGAAGAAAATTCAGGTTTTTTCTCTCATGTTCTTCAAAATACTTCTAGCTTTTACTTATCACCCAATTCCAAAGCCACTTCCACATTTTTAGATATTTGTTTTGGCAGGACCCCACTGTCAGTAAGAAAATCGTTATTAGTTTCCAATTATTGCTGCAATGAATTGCCAAAAACTTAGTGGTTTAAAGCAACACAACTTTATTACTGTATAGTTCTAGTGGTCAGAAATCTAAACGGGTCCATAAGGCTGCATTCTTTTGGGGAGCTCTAGAGGAGAATCTGTTTCCTTGCCTTTCCAGCTCCTAGAGGCCACCTACATCCCTTGGTTTGTGACCAATTCCTCTATCTTCAAGACCAGCAGTATAGCATCTTCTCTCCTTTCTGACTTCTGTTTCCATCTTTACATCTTCTTGATCATTTCTGATCCTCTTGCCTTCCTCTTCTTGACCCTTGTGATTACATTGGTAATCAGGATAATCTGGGATAGCCAATTGGAAATAATCTCCCCATATTGATATCTTTAATTTAATCACAGCTGCAAAGGTTTTTTTCACCATGTAAAGTAACATATTTGAAGGTTCCAGAAATTAGGGTGTGGACATTTTTGGGTGGCCATTGTTCTGCCTACACAGCCAAGATATAGTCTAAGGCCAGTCTATTATCTATCATGATCCCCAAACAAATGAGGTCAGACTAATTGTTGGCCTTTAGTGTCACTGCCAATAATTACAGGGGAAAATAGGTGGGTCAAAAGTAGCTCCTATCTCCAATGGTGAGACATTTCATGGCCCATTTTCCTCCACATACAAACATGTAATCTGAAAGCATCCCACTTACTCCAGTTTGAGATTTGTTGTTAAACCTGGCTTGGATCATTATAGTGTTTTGGTTAATAAACATTGGCAGTGTCACCAAGTAGTTGCAGCCTCAGTCTCCACACATGACATAACCAAAGACTGCTCAGGCATCAGGAGAAGCATGTGAATTTGTGTCAGTCAGATTGAAACAAAGTTATGCCAAACTGTGTGTTTGTAACCATTGATGGCATCAGACACTGCAGAATAGTTCAGGACCAATCGTGTCCCAGGTCCCTTTTGCCCAGGCTACTATCTAGAAAGTGTACCAAGCTGACCCAGTTTTGCTATTAGGAGAAAGAAAGATATATCACGCCCCGCAATTGTTAGGGTGGAATCCCAAATTTTCAAAATAGGTCTGTATAACTCTCTAGGCCTTTTGTCCTCATCATTAACCAGGAGTGGCCAAAAGGGATGAATTCTTCTTGGAACAGCCACATTAAAGTGACCAAACTACCTTACTAAAGTATGAAGACCAGGAAAAGGCAAGGGACAAAGAGTCAGAAATCTTTTTGAGTTGACTTTTGAGAATGCTATTCCAGCACTCAAGTATACTGCGGATGGTAGGGAACATGTAATGTCCATTAAATTCTTTGACTATTAGCCCATTGTTTGATGGTCTTCGCCAATGATCCAGAAAGCCTAACACATGAAACAGCTTCATTGTAAGGACCACAATGCTGTGGCTAGAGTCAGCTAGTTGGGCTGGAAGAGGAATACCATACCCTCAAAAAATGTCAAAGCAGTGAGGCAACATCAGTAGTCCCAAAAGGGAGTCAAAGATTCAATGTAGTCAATTTGCCAGGAACAGACAGAGGTAATGTTCCATGCAATGTGGGCTCCTTCACCATGGAATAAGCAGGCTAAATTTTTGCAGGAGTCACAAGTCTGGTATGCAGTGAAAGCTTCTGCATCCATCAGAAACACATAGTCTTTTACAGTGTGCCCTGTCTGTGATAATGGATATGTTGCCATGTCCAATGCGATGATGAAACCAGGGGGCAATGGTGGCAATCTCGGCATTGCAGGCTTGATAGCCTAATTCTAATTGGTCTAATCAGAGAACAGGCCCTTACTGTGCACATCTACATGAGTGACTCAGACTGTCTGATGGGCAAGTACAATTTGTTTACCCAGTTCATGGCCCCAAAGAGGGATGTCTTTAATCTGCCAGTCTTAGTCTTCAAAGTGGCAGACCAACTGGTTAAGCCATTGGTAACTGCCAAAAAGGCAGTAGGAGTCCTTGAGAGTATTGTCTAAGGCAAAGGTGATTTAGTCTGTGTGGTACAGTTGGTCTTCCAGAACTGTCATTGGAGTTGGATGGCTGCTGCCATCCAGTGGACACCATCAACTTGTAATTTAACTGAGCCGAAGTAAACTAGGCCCAGGATTATAGGTGAATCTCAGTGAATCCAGGGCCCCACTGAGCCAGCAGATTTGTTTCAGGCAGTGGAATGGGGGGGATAAAGTTTCTCCCAAAGAGATGACTGCCACTTTTTCACATAAAACTCTTTTCACGTAAAACTCTTTTCACGTAAAATTTTCATGAAACTCACTGAGTTTCATGTAAAACTCAGATGTCACTAGAGCTGTGCTCTTAAATGCATCATTTCCTTTTGACAAGAGAGACTTATGGGACCCTTCCCACCTTGTTTTGTTGAATCCATGTTGATCTATCCCAAAATGGGTATATCCAGCCTGAGAGTCACAAGGCCTCCATTGGTAAGACTTTCCATTGGTAAGAGCTTAGTAGCAGGTTAACAGCTACCTTTAGAAAAAAAAAGGGGGGGTGGGGGGGAGGCAGTATTTAGTGGCTACGTCAGAAAGCTGGCACTGTTGTGCAGAAAAACAGCCTCTTCTAGTACTCTAGCAGTCATTACACCCTTAACTAAAGCTGAGGTTTCCTTTTTTTTGGTCTGGGTTTATGTATTGTTTCTCTTGGACAAGCCAGGAGGGGACAGTACATGTGGTAGTCCCTGAACAGGAAAATTCCCTCTGACATTTATGAGCATTCACAATACAAGCATATAAAACATTGCTACCAATTATGCATTCAGCAGTGGATACCACAACAACAGTATGTTGTATTGGCCCAGAAGCCCCACACAGTAGGCCACTTCAGCTTTCCTTCCCTACTTCAAATTGTGTCCAGATCCCATAAGTTGAATTCAGGCACGAAGGAGTCTACCCTGAGCACACGTCAGAGCCTCGAGCAAGTCTCCAGGTCATGCTATTTCCCAGCTGGGGGGACCAGGATTAAAGGGTAGCGGGAGAATTTAGGCTATGGTGGGATGGCAGGGGCAGCAGGAAGGAAATTTTATTGTTAGCGGTTTTTTCCCTCTTTCAACCCTTCACCCTAAGATCAGAGCCTAAGCACCAGCACTACTTCCTCCTTCCTATACTTCCTGGTGTCTAGCAAGCACTAGAACCCAGGATTCCCTTTTTTTCCTGCCCCTGAACACAGGCTACTACAGTCCACCCTGCTGTTCTGAGGACCATTGGTGACCTCTCTGCCTAGTACCCCATCTTCTCACCAACCAAGTTAAGCTGTGAAAAGGGCCAGGTGGGTGAGCGCAGTGCCTCTGTGCTTTTGGGCAAGGCAATGGGTTCACTTTTCTTTCTGAGTGGCTTCCTGCTTATGGCTTAACCAATGTTTTCAATTCATCCAAACTAAAGTTTTTGGTCCACCCAAAGCTCTATTTAAATAGCAAGGTCCACATTGCTGACATCAGTTGTTTGGTTTGGGGACTCCTGGCTCAATAGCCACAGACAAACTGCCTTTTAGCTGGGGCCATGGAGCTTGCTTGCCCACTGTCACAATAACATCCTTTCCTTTGCCTACCAAGAGGAAAGAAAAAGCAACAATCAAGCACTATTTGGGTAGCTTGTCTAGTCCTACTTTTCAAAGCTCAGCCTTTAAGGATTAATTCAATTCATGTTCATTAAAAAATTGGACAATGGGAAACCCTTCCTCCACCCCCACTTTCCACACACCTACCAGTCCTCCCCACCACTTGGGCAAAAACATTTGCTACCAGATTATAGGAAGTTTTCTCATCTCTCTGGACCTGGTTCATGGAACCTTTGTCCTTCCTCTTCCAAAATGTCATTTCTCCATCAGCATCCCATCCTTGTCACTAAAACTGTCAAAGCTACAATTTGACTTTACCCTACTTTTATAAGCTGTTAAGTTAGCCTGTTCCTCTTTCATGGATGCTCACAGAAAACATGAGACTCTTGAATCAGAGACCACAGACTGATTATTCACAGCACAGCAAGCATCATGAACATCAGATGCTTACATCGGTTCCCCTTGCTCCCAAGTCCCATGAGGGCAACATGGAGGACCCAGAAGGATACCTACATATGCAGTGTGTTGCATTATAGGAAACACTTACCTTCATGAATCCACCAATTTTTAGCAAGCAGTAAGCAAGCCTGCTTTTGTACCAGAGGGAGACATTACCTCATCCTTCAAAGCTGCTCACTGCAGATACAATCCTGAGGAATAGCCTGGGTAAAGAGAGGTCAGGGCCTTACATTTTTGGCATATCCAGCAAAACATATAGAAGCATGAGAGATCTATGGAGGAGTCTCTGCCAATAAGAACCAGCCCTCTGGGAAAAGAGTAAGAATTTTAAAAGGTCTGCATTGTATCATTTCCCAATTTCCTGGTTTAAATACTCCCACCATGGGTACTTGAAGCTACCACTGTGATATTACTCGAGTCAGAGTTGGGAAGAGATATGCACGCACTCTAGCTGAGCCCTCCACTGATAATTCTTGCTTGAATCAATTATTATTATGATGGTTGGGCTGCTGGTCCCTCTTCTCCACAATTATCACAATTTGACCAAATGTCACCTCCATGTTTGTTTTTCTTTCTCGTGTATCTTCTTCTTTGTCAAGGAGCTGTTTCAATAGACCATTTTATGCGTACGTGAGTACTTAGATGGTTGCCTGCAAGGGCAGATTCTAAGAAGGTCAGTAACAATTGGGGTGACACTCAGAGAAGGGCACATGCTTCAGAGCAAATCGCCCTCAGCTCACACCATCCAGGTGGCGCTAGATAAGTTAGCCTTGGTGGAAACTGAGTTTTTCAAATGAAAATGAGATTAACAAGAAAAGCCTCCATTTATTGCGCATCTCCTATGTGCCAGGCAATATACTAGCCATTTTAAATTTAGAGTATATCATCTCATTTAAACCAAAACCATGAGTTTTTTTTTTTCTTTAAATATATCTTATTTAAATACTTCTAACATTTTCAACATGATTTTGCAACATTCAGGGCCCATAATTTCCTATTTCAATGTTATCAAATGATAGTGAAGATACTTTGTGGGATAACAGGACTTAATTAATAACTAGCTTTTCAGCAACTGTTAGAACGCCTCAATTCCATTAAGTGAGTGACATCAGTTGGAAAAATGAGGCCAATTTTTGCTGCAGGTTTAAAGAAAGTGGAAATAACCTCTAAATAGTGGTGTATTTGTGCTTAGCAGTGGAAGGTTTTTAGTTCATACTTAATTGAAAAGGCAAGTCACTGTTGAATTTTGAAAACCCTGGAAGAGTTTTTTAAAGTAATTTAATGTACCATTTTATGGTTGCTTTTGTAGTTTAGAATTTGTGATGGATATCGAGGGATGTATGTGCCTTCTGATCCCTTAGATTTAATCAGACTTCTCACTTGCTTGCTTGCATAATGGTTTATGGTACCTTTGGTGATTTGCAGCCAACCTAGCACTTTTAATAATTTACTGTAAAAGCATTTAATTTTTAATGGACAAGAATGGGTTAGAGGTAACTTTTGCGTTGGTAAGTGCTCTCTGGAAGAGTAGAAAAAAAGGAACAGTATATTTAAATTCCAAACATTATTGAAAAACATGCATCTTTTATTACCAAAATCAAATGCATAATTGAAGAACATACCTAACCCAAAATTATTGTTCATGCTTTATTTAACCAGAAGATAGCATTGCTTTCACGATGCTATCATAAGGACATTTTTTCAAATTCTCATTTTTTTTTTCTTATCTTCCATGCTGTTTTCAATATTCTGTCTCACAAGATAAAGCATACCTGCTACAGGGTGAGAATACATGTCATTTTATTACATCTTGCTAATCAAGAAAAGCCCAACAAAAGAATGGTTTGTAATGTCTGGTACATAAAAGAAATAGCATCTTATATTAATTTTCCTTAAAAGTTTTTCTAAGATCTCCAAATAATGTGCATACCTAGGAATGATTTCACAACTAGTCTTAAAAATACCAGAGTTTCCATGTGGAAAGAAAAATGGGAAGATGCCAGGATAAATATTTTTTAAGACTTGATGGAGGACAAAACATATCTTGCCTTCAGAGGCACATAAAACAAAAAATGTTGCAATTGCAGAATAATCCCTTTTTCAGATACGCCATATGTAAAAATAAGAATGGCTTCACAGGACTGCTTTCTGGGGAATCAGCTAACAGCCTACAGCCCTGGAAATTTATTCTACTCTTCTAACATTCCACAGCTGACTGTCCCCGAGCTTATGCTGAAATGGGCTGCAGGGAGAACTCTGATGGTCAAGGGTCCAAGTTTGAGCTCTGTTTCTAAAGTGCCTTTGGAATTCAGGCATCAGAGCAGCTGCATGAGAATATGAAACTCATTCTCTTTGTTTTGGCCTTCAAAAAGTCTTGAGTCTAAACCATGCTATAGAAATTGGTTCCCAGGAACCTTTGGTACTTAGCCAAGGAGTTTATGCCCTGTCAAAATTACCCCATCTAAAGCTGAAAGTCTGAGGATCCAGTCACCATTTCCATGCTTGGTTTCCTGGGATGAACCTGCAGGTGCAAGACTTACCTGGTTACCAAGAACCCTATCTACTTCTCACCATCTTTTGGCTTTCTGGAAGGGGTTATATATAAAACAGCTCCTTTCTCTGTTAGCTAGATTCTCATCTCCACCCCAGCTAATGAACAGAAACTTCTAGATATAATCAATTGTCTCCCAGATTTGAGGAAGCAGGAATTGCTCCTGAGTAGACAAGTTCAGGGGCACCCGAGTTGGGTGACCTTTACCAATCACATACACATATCTCTCTTTCTCTTCTCCAGCTCTCTCAAATTCTTCACCTCACCTCACCAACGTTTACTTTTAGAGGTAGAGAATCCTTAGAGATCATCCAGCAATCCACAGACTTTTTCACATGAAGAAACTATGAGCTAGATAATTGCCCAAGGTCACACGGAAGCTAGAAACTAGAATTTTCTAAATTGAGTGCTTTCTAAATAGAGCGCTTTTAGAAATCTGCTTTCTAAACTGAGTGCTTTTCCCATTACATCATACGGTCTCGCTCCCCTCTTCCTCTGTCTCTTTCTTCCCCTCCTGCCTCCCTTCTCCCCTCCCCAACTACCATCATCCCTTTGCTTTTGTTTTAGGCCTTCCAGTGGTGCCAGAAGTACCCATTAGTCTCACTCAGCTGCAGTGGTGGCCTTGAGTGCTAAAAAAATTAAGGGATGGGGAGGGGGCAGATAGTAGGTATTCCTGACCCTAGTCTAACAGTCTTTCTGGCTTAATTCCGTTTTTCTTCCTTCTCTTCCATTCAGGTGTGCTCCCTCTTTTTCACATTCTGACAATACTGAAGAACGAGCTGACTTTACCCTAGCTAATTTGCCAGCCTAGTCTTGATGATAGAAACATAACTAAGTTTCTTGTGCATATTAATTCCTTTTAGTGTCCTTACCAGGTTGGGGCTTTGTGAACCATCTTCCAAAGAGAACAGACAAACGTAGAAAAGAATGTTATAAATGTAGCCTTCTAGCCTCCATCCTGGCCTAGGTCCTTACATTCCCCCAAAATTTATGCCAAATAGATGAAGTGACACACCAAAGTGTCAACACTGGTCACTCCACAGGCATGGAACTGGAGTAGGGTAGAACCAGAGAGGGAGAGTATTATGTTTATTCTAGCAAGTCTTTTAAAAGTTGAAAAGAAATAAAAGAAGGAAGGAAAAAAGGGAGGAAAACATGCCTAAATCACAGTAAAATTTGAAAATCTGAAGCCTAGAGTGTATCAGAAAAAAATATTTTAAGTACAAATAAAAAGCCTGCAAGCATAATACAGTCAAATCCGTAATTTTTTAAATCTGTAATGCTAGGTTTTAATGAAAGGCAAAAAGGTCTATAAATTCTGTTTTTTCCCTTAGCAGTTAAAAAAAGAAAAATTCTGAGTTATGGACTGACTGTGAGTATAGATAAGAAAAATGTCCCCGTTGTGACTGGGTGCTAGAATTTTTCACGTATACCACTCATGTCTATATAAGGGGGGAAACAGACTGAAGAACCGTCAATCTTGTATTTTTGGCAGACTAAATGATTAACCATTTCACATCAGAGTCAATCTTAATCCAATCAACTGTATGGGAATTAGTCACTATAATGGGAAAAGTACTTAACTCAAAAGGGTTCATTCATTAATCACATATCAACACACCAGAAAGATAATTTTTCTGCTTAAGTTCCCAGGCTCCCCTTATTCATTCATTCCTTCAGCAGCTATTTGTGGAACTCTTACCATGAGCCAGGCACTCTGTAGGGCACTGGGAACAAAAACACACTCCTTAATACAAAGGAGATGGTAGATTAGAGAGGGGGAAATAAAAAATAAATTAGCTCATGCTGTAAACATTAACATAGATTTGCCACACAACACACACACACACATACTGCCATGGAGGTAGGGGCAAAAGGGAATAATTACATATGTATTCTAGGGCAAGTAGAGAAATCATCACAGAGGAAGTGACACCTGAGCCAGGACTTAAGGGCTGAATCAGAGTTCATTGAAACATTTCCAATGAAAATCAAAGCCTGAAAACAGAAAAGGCCAAGTTTATGAATGAATACTTTTATTAGACCAGCACTTCCCAATGTGTTTATAGATCTTATTTGGAAAAAAAGGATTCCATCTTCAAAAGAACGTTTAGGAAATGCTGGATTCTACAACATTAAACAATTTTCTTTACAGCAGGACTTCTCAGAACCTTTACATCCCCAAAATTTTATGCCAACCAAATACATGAAATGATACACCCAAGTGTTAACACTGGTTACTTTCTGGGAGCCAAGGTGCATTATAAATCTAGAAGAGGGACATAGTATGCAATGATTCTCAAGCTTAAAGAAAGCCCCCTTTTCTTTGTAGAACTTGAGGGTCTACTTACCTTTGTGCACACTTTATGTCTGTATTCATGATCTGTACTCATAGATTTATTTTCATGTGTGTTTTTAAACTAAGATAAGAAAAGGTAATTGTAAAGTCCACTAATGAATGCTGAAGCTTTGTGCAGTGATCATGGCCATTGAGGTTTATCCCAGGCACGATTATTGCTAAATGAATGCTCAAACTCCTGTTGGAAAAAGCAGCAAAGTCTTAACATTTAATATTACTGCACTACAATCATTCTCATTCCAGAAAAGTTGTCATTGTCTTACAGGATTCTACAGGGGCTATGTGACCATTTGGTTTGGTGTCAGTGTTAGAAGAAGATCAGAAAACCCAGAGTAAGGTGACTGAACAATACACATGCATATGGCTGGTAATTAGGTACTAGATAACCAAACCAAATAGCAACCCAGAAAATACCTTTCTTCTTTGCATAATGATCAATAAATAGACTAATAATCAGATCTTCCCTTTACATTCACTGCATGTATATTTTGAAATAGTATGTGTCAAATTATGCTTTTCTATTTGTAAAAAAAAAGCACAATTTAAGTATATTTTAAGGAGCACTAAATATTAATTAAAAAAGGGAGGGAAATGCAGATGGTCTAGATAACACAGTGAAAGATGAATGACTCAGTGGGTCACCATTCCTGTGAACAGAATTTGAGAAACTGCAATAAAGAAAGACTTCAGGCCTGTTATATGACACTATTTAAAGCATGTACTACCTGTATAATAGGCTGGAAAAGGACTGATTCAATTGATGAAGGAAGATTTAGATCTATGACTTACATTATCATGATGAATCCTATATTAATATTAAAGTTCTATCCATCATACTGGAAATTTCCCTGGAGAGTTTTTAACATTTCCCTCGTGGCTGCCTTAATATGTAAATTACTGCCATCCTGAGAAACCGGTGCAGAATCTCTGCTTATAACTTTTTCTACATTACATTTTTTTTCCATTTTATTTCTGTGCAAATTGAGTCCCTTTTAGTTTTAGAAATAAGAAAGTTGCCCCCTCTTCAGATTACCTGAGTTTATATCACTTTCACAGACGCCCTCTTCAGTTGTTCCATATTGTTTCCTATTTCCCCTTTGTTTGCTGACAGTAAAATTAGCAGCAGTAAGAGGTCTGCTCTGTAGGCTTAGGAAACTTGGCGCAAGCTGTTAGTACAAGCAATAAATGCTGGCCAGCTTCTATTTTGTAGCCTGTAAAATGTTGGATACTCTAGCTCAGATTCTTTGGTCGGTGGCCACAGTCTGCAAATGTCACATTTCATCAAAATCACTTCGGCAACTGTTGTTTGCAGGCGCATCCAGAGAGAGGGTGAGGCAATCCAACCACGTGGGGGAGGGGTTAGAATCTCTCAGTACTAATTTACGGTGTATCAAGAACAACACTGCCCCAGGTCTTCACATGTGACAAAAATCTGGGGATCTCCTTGACCCTAATTACAAGATGCCCCAAATTCAACTACTTTTGAGATTTAGGGTGGAGGTGAGGGAAAAGAATAACAGGCCAAGAATCGTTCACTAGGCCCGGTTCTCTCCTCTGTGCCAGAAAGAAAACCTAGAAGATAAAAGTTCATCTTCTACCAGCCTTCCAGTTACGGATGCTCTCCTCCCTCCCAGCCTGCATCCCACTTCCTCTTCCTCCGGCCCCGTAATTAACTCTAGGAGACAGGAAGAATAGAAGCAGCAGCGGCAGCAACCAGTAACTGACATTTTGGGGGAAGTTTCTGGGCTGATGACTCAGCCAGCCCTGCTCAGCATTTGCTCAACATTTTCTCGAAACGGGCTGTTCAAAACCTTTGACAGGGCCACTGAACAGAGAGTACATGGACACTGAGTGGCTGTCCTTCACCCCACGGCTTTAATTTTTCCCAGAATGTGGCCAATCCGCATCATCCTCCCCCACTCCAACTCTTTTCACAATTTAGCTCTCAGAAGGCTTCCTGGAGTGGGGGCATGTGTCCTCTGCTCGGGCTCTATGCTGAGGGAGAGGGGTCAGCCTGAACTTCCTTCACTAGCGTGTAGCTATAGGAGAGGGGTGTGGAACCAAACGGCCCAGCCTCGTAGGTGGAGAGCACCTACTGCTTGCAATGGAAGGGAGAAATTACCTGGAAGATTTTTCATTCAAAAAACTTTATAAATTTTTAAATCTTCCTCTTTCAAAATGAGCCATAAATGGGTCAAATGATACAGAATAGTAAAATGGATGTGATATGAATTCTTTATAATTATGGAAATGGCAGCTTCCTTATTGGTTACGTGAGTCACGTAACATGTAATTCCTCATCTTAGGTTATTGATAATGGATATGCAGTTATCAAGTTGTTTTAATGAACACTTGTAAAATACTTTCTGTCAATGAAAGCAAATATTTTATTGTAGACAGATATGCTTGTAGGACTGAACTAGGATGTCCCATTATTACTACTTCTAATTTAGTGTAAATACTGTCAAAAAATTGACAGAGCACAATGAACCTAACTACCAAAAGAATAGGTACTTATATCTGGAATTATACACAAGAGTCTTATTTGTACCGTCTCCAAAATAAATACTTCCCACTGATCTCTACACAGTTATGTGAGGGAAGGGAATTGTGGAGTGCTTCCAAGGAAGACTACCCAAGTGTCAGGCAGAGAATGGCAAATCTGCCACCTTAATGGAAAAATAAACTTTCTTGCTCAAAAGCAATGAACCACTCTACTCCAGGTCATAGAACTCACTCGACCTTAGTAAACTCAGTGGGAAGAAATGAGGCAAGTCAGTAGGACCACAGCGAAATAAAGGGCGTGAAACATTTAGGAAAGAGGCCCAAGTTAAAAAGAGTTTAGGACCATTTAGGGACCAAACCACCTGGTCTTAAAATTCTCAGGACAGTGCTTCATATCTGGTGCTGAGCATAACGTTGGAAACAGGAGCGCCTCCAAATGCCAAAGAGAAACACCTGAGCCAGGGCTCTCACCTGCCAGGGGAGAAAGGGAATCTTACAGGCTCTCGAGGTTGGCACAGCTTTTGATGGATATATGGAGAAAAGCTGGGAATTGTGCCCTCAGACACCCCGGGGGAAGGAAGATCTAGAATTTGTTTTGTTTTCTTTTGTGTTTACCATCAAAGCCCCGCATGAGCCATGAAAAATATCTCACAAGAACACCTGCTTTCAAAAACAAAGACCCAGATGGCAGAGATGAAAGCACTGTCTACTAGAATCACCAGGGTAGGATTCAGACCTCTCATCTTTAGAGAGAAACAGAGAAATGCCCACACCAACACAGAATGGTTACATCACCCTCTGACTGCAACTCAGAACTTAGTTTTTCACCAGCTTGGAAGTAGTTTTCCTCCACTTGGGGAACTGGAGACAGGGAGAGAACAGTTCAGATTCTCCCTTACACTCTATCTATCCAGCTGTATTGAACACCTTTTATATTGTCTTCCTAGTAGCACCAGCTGCCCCCAACTCTTTCACAGGTTTGCAATAGGATCCTCTATGTTATGCAATGTGACCATCCTTAGCCACAGATCACTGGCTCAGGATGGGGCACCTTATCTGGACTGGGCCCATCAGAATCTTTCCCTAGTATTTTGAAGGTGGAACTGAGATGAGGCATTTTCTCATGGGATGGCTGAAATTGAGGATACTCAAACTCAGGTGTTAATAAATGGATAGAGAAGCAGAAAAATCAAAATGTCAGTAGGAAAGGATAATGAAACTGATGCACTGAGAGAAGCACTGAGGATCCAGGAGAAAGTTCTGAAGGTAATTTGACTCCTAGGCTCCAGACGTTCTATAGGCCCCTATCCCATTTATAAGACATCCCAGTATCCTCATAAAAAATTCCTCATTTTGCTTAAACACATTAAAAATTTCACTAATGGCAACCAAGGAGCTCTGAATAATATATCAGGTAAAGGAGAATCAGTTTTGCAGCTGTGCCAATATGAAAGCATCAACTACAAACATTCACAAGAATAGGAAACTGCTCAAGAGGCAGGAAGGTCCAAAGCGAGCCCACGGTGATTTCTCTCCTACTCCATCTTTCACCATGCCCTGCTTAGCCTGTGTATCAGGGACTTCCCAGGATTCTGGAACCCCTTCTCCTTGGATATTTTTATCCAAGTTAGATCAGGTTAAGATATACATTCAGGGAAGTTTTGAAGTGGTAAATTTAAACAAATAAATCAGCCTCAAGAATATGGAAACATAAGAAAGGCTATTCCACCGCTCTTGACCTAGAGGTTGGGGGATGGGGCATGGAATTTACTAAAAGATCCACATCAGTCTCCTAGTTGGATGCTTCTGGATCATGGATCATTGGCTACTCCTATCAGTGAATTAGAATGGGCTCTACCATAGCCCATCAGCCAAAGCCCACCCTTATAAAACTGCTCTGAGTCATCCAAGCTTGTGTTTATAATAGGCTATTGTCCCTAGAGATAGTATGCCTGCTTGTGTGTCTAAATATGTTCTAAAACCTTTACCAGCATTGTCTATTTTCTTTATTATAGGTTCTCAATGGGGAAATATCTGATTTCTTAAACTTAATTGGTACAAGATCCAGTATAAAGTTAAATCCATTATGTATTTAATAGGATTACATTAACATTCATTTAGCTCATTTAACCTCAATAAGTACAGGATTTTCTGCCTAGATCTCGTCTTTTAGAATCAAGAGATTGCCAGAAAATCTTCTCCTTTAATTAAATTTATTCCTAAAGCCACAGTAGGTTTAGAAGTATGTTTTTAGATGTTCCTCCAAAGACAACTATTTGAGGATTTTTCTGTTTGCTTGCTTGGAATTGGTTGAGTTTTATTTGTCATGGAATTGGTTGAGTTTAGCCAGCAGAACTGCCATGCTGTAATTCCTGGCTATGTCACGGACACATCTCTTTGGGGGTCCAATAAAACCAATGTCAAAGGGAAGTGTAAACTCCTCCTCAGTGATGAAGTCCAGCCACTGTGATCCAAATGATGCAGGAGCCCACTGGTATGAGATACTCAAATGAGCTCAGACCTAGAGCAGAAGGGCAGGTGGTGTGGCCAAAGCCAAAGGACTGGTAACAGAAAAGAATAAAGTCAAAGTGCCACTGCATTAATGCAAGGGTGGTGAGAGCTAGGCCAGCTTCTGCTGAGAACCACGGGAACTGCATGGCTGCTGTGGACCTTTTCAGAAGCTCCTACCAACGGCACTCAGGAGCATAGAAACCACCTGACCTCCAACTAAAAAGAAAAAAACAACAACCCATTCACATACATACTTGAATTAGCCCCCTTATCATCTCTTTTCATCAGAGATGAAAGAGCACCTGGGTGGATCCATAGTTGTAATGATGCTCCTTTTTATTAGTTACCCAGCTGCCCTTATTCCCGATTGAGATGGGAAAACAGTTGTCCTTATGCACATCCTCCAAAACCCACATCGGTGTAGGTTTAAGCAACAGAATTCCTCCCCAGCAAAGATGCAGCCAGACTAGTGGAAAAGGCCCAAGGATTAAGCCACGTCCTTCCTAAGCTACTGAAATTCTCAAACATTCTTTTCATTAAAGCAAATCATTATTTGAAGAGTACCTTCCACATTTTAGAGCAGAATCCTTCAAAACAAAGAAAAAACAAAACAAAAAAACCAAGATATTGAAAAAGCACACACTTTGTAAGAAACTAAATTATTCCATTCAGGTTGGAAGACAAGGTGGCTGCTCACTTATTTTAAAAATATAAAAAGCAAGAGTGGCCAAAAACAGAGAAAAAAAAAATCCCAGTAAAGGTCTGGGTTTCCATTACCCATATTTGTATAAAAGCTATGGGTTGTTTTAACTAAACATCTGGTCTTTGTCCCTCATGTAGAGAATTCTGAGTTTTCTTGACACTCTGGCAAGAGGTACCACAACCCCCTGCCAGGCCAGTAAAAATCACACATTTTTCCTGCAAGGAAAAAAATGTCAATAAAAATGAAACATTAAAAAGCATAAAAGCTCGAATTGGAAAGCTGTGCTGCAGAGGCTGCTTCTTAATCAGCCTTGCACAACTGCTTTAAACATTTTTTAAAACATTACCACTCCATATCGTTTGACAGACCTAATACTGATACTGAAAGTTTGTTCAATATATTGTTCTAAAATATGTCCTTTAGACACAGGGACCTTGCCATTTAATCAACCTTCTGGAATAAATCATATGAATTAACTTTTATAAATATTTAATGTTTATTCTTGCATCGTACAAATTGATTCTTTAAGTTACTTCAACTAGAATTGAATTTCAACCGCTTTTACTACATGGAGAAATAATCTCTGTCCCATGTTCATGTCGGCACCTTCCAAGACCCTGGCATTATAATCCGTCAGAATAAAAAGCAGAGAAATAAATACAATCCTGCTATCAAAATATGACAAGCTCATTATAACAAACCATTCATAAATCTTGAAATAAAGGCACCACCACACATTTTAAAAATAGTAATTTTATGCAATTTGCATAGGATGATTTTATTTGGAACCAAGGCAGGTATTTCTTTCTCTTTGCACACATAATGCTGAAATGAATTACACAGTAATACCACCACCATCCTCCAAAGAGGGCCTAAAATTAGTTAACAAATGGTTGCAAAATACTTTGCAAACATGAAACGCAAAATAAGACTATAATGCCCATAAATTCTTTTGCATCGCACAACATTTGGATTGTCCTTAGAAGGAAAGAAAAACAAACAGTGTAAAATGGCAAATACCCTGGAAGTAAACTGCTGGGTTGAGGGTGAGGAGAAGGGTTCTAGAATGAGGTTCCTCTGGATATTAAAATTCACCGCCTCTTTGGTAGACCTCACCGTGGCGTCAAGGACCTGGATCAATGCATGGCATGAGTTGGCCCTTCTACATAAAGATTTAAATGAAAAGTTGCAGCCCATGGCCTAAAAACAACCCATTATTTTAAATATTTTATTCGAGGTGTAGATAAACCAGAGCCTTACAGAGTCCTAAACCCAACTCAAGTCAGCTCAGTTCCTGATTGGTGGCAATAATTTGTCCCCTACCCTAACTGCCTGCCAGAAGTTAGGGTGCATCTAGTGGGCATGAAAAAATAATGAGCAATCAGAGAATCCTTTTCTGCCCTCAGCCAGAGGAGCCAGTAGGCCTGTGAAGTCTGCCTCGTGGGAGACCCTGAAGCATCATCAGGGAGCCCTGCTTCGGGCTGTGTAGGCCCTTTTCACACCCTTTTCACACCCATCAACATGGCAAGATCCATCAGAACATGTTGAACTCATCAAGCTGCATGTTGTACTACAACAGAATAAACCAAAACTCACATTCAACCTGTTCTTACCTGACTGTCCATGTATGGGTCTCAGTCTGGGAAAGCCTCAGATGTGAATCCTCAACAAGAGAATGGTAAGATGTTGTGATTTCAGGATAAGCCACACAATTAAGCTCTAATAAAGTATAAGTCACAGTAAAGAGAAAACTCTGGTCAACAGCCAAAACTGGGAAAAATAATTAATAAGCAACTTCACTTTCAACTCCTATTCCCAATCCTGATGAAAAATTTATTTATTCCTTTAGAAATAAAATTCCCTGAGTTTCTGTGAGACAGACAATGGAAATACCACTATGATCTGCACAAGCAAGGTCCCGCCCTCACATAGTTCACAGAGCAGTGGAGGAGGAGACAGGGAAACAGGACAAATCCTGATTAGGGAAGAACAAAGAGCCATTTACTGGAGCTGGAAGTCAGAAGAGACTTCTCACAACATGCGCTGCCTCAGCCAAGACCCAAACAATGAGTAGATGTAAGAAGAAGAGGGGAGTGGACGAATATCCCAAACACAGGAAAGTCGTGAGCAGAGGACTGGAGGCAAGAGAAGCCTCATCCATTTGGAAGAACAGAAGAAGTTTGTCATAAAGCAGAGTTGGTGGGGAGTGGCGAGAGATAATACTGGAGAAATAAGCAGAGAACAGGTCATGAAGACTGGGCTATCTAAGTGATTCCAAGAGAAAGTGGAAACCACTGAAAGGTATTAAGGAAGAAATCATAAATATATTGTATTTTATAAAAATTTTTCTGATTGCACTGTGGAGGAAGAATTGGAGAAGACCACAAAAAAGATCTAGGCAAGAGAAGATGGTGAACTGAATAATAGAAATTGGGAAGGAGAGAATTGAACAGATGTAAGAGCTATTTAGAAGTCAGGAAAGACCAGACTGGACTGGGCAGACTAGCTCAGTGAGTAAGTATTCAGATCGCTTGCACTCAAATCCTGGCTCTGCCACCTATAGGGAAAGTTATTAATCTTTCCACACCTTAGTTTGCCTTTCTGTAGAATAGGAACAATAATAGTACCTGCTCACGGGATTATTATGAAAGATAAACAAGTGAATTCACAAAGGACTTAGTTCCTGGCACATCATAAGTGGTCAAAAAAAATTGGTTATTGTTATTGAGTGTAATAGCTCAAAACTAGAAACAACACAATTGTTCACTAACTGTAGAATGGGATGTGGAAGAAAAGGGGAGGAAAAAGTCAAGGATCTCACAAGGATTTTGAACTGGATAAATGGGTAGATATAGTAACTGCACCAGTTATCTATTTATTGCCTCTCAGCTCCAAATCCACCATTCACTGCATGTTCTGAGATAATGGATATGGACCCAGTAAGCATTTCTCCTTTGTAGCTGGCACAGTTTTAAGCTTTGTTGGTAGAAGTCACTGGAGGGATACTGCAGGAGGAAGGGACTTCTCTTCCTGGTTCAAGTGTGCTTCCATTTGCTTCTTTGTGCTCCTATACATGGCTGCCAGTGGTAGTGTCGGGGACATCTAGTAGCGCTCACCCCCTTCAAATTTCAGCGGCAGATTCCCAGTGAGTCTCAGAGATATCCTAGAAGTTGCCTTCCCAACATTGGGCCCTCTGCACTGCCAAAAGATGTCTCCCCTTGTGATTACAAACAGGCTCTGGCCAGGGTTACCCAGAAAACTTCTCTGCCATCCACACCTTCTCCAATAAGCACTAAATTCCCATCAATTTATCCTTTCCTTAGATAATCTCCCTTGGCCCTAGTGTATTCTTTGCCCCTTTATGGTTAATCCTGTTATAATTAATAATTCTTTATATTAATCATTTCCTATTCAAATTACTGTGTTTTCTATCTTCTGATTAGACTCTGACTGATAGAGTCCTATTCATCGAAATTAGAAACATAGGAGGAGAGACAGGTATTGAATAAATTCCATTTCAGACATACTGAACTTGAGATGCTTGTGGGACACCTCGACAGTACTGTCTGGTAGGAAGCTGAGTGCCTGGGAGGTCTAAAGCTCAGGAGAAGTGTCCAGGCTGGAGAAAGAAGCTTAGAAGGGAGTAGCCTTAATATCTCTAAAATCTTAGTAAATGAAGCATGTGTGTAAATGTCATGTGTCAGGGAGATAGTTTTTTTTTTTTTTTGGATGCTCGTATGTGCTGTGAATCCCTAAATGTGCTGTGTTTGTGGCAGCACATTTTATCAAACGATTTATGATGATTTCATACCGCATATGTTAGGTAATGTTGTTTTATATCTGCTAACATTTTCAAAGCTAACTGAAGATACAGTTGAAAACAGCCAAGCCGTATATTAATAAGATTAGAACACTAATTACACTCCAAACTTGGAAGTTTAAACTTGGAGGCAAGGGAGTAATCAGTCACATCAGCTACTCTAGATGCTGACTGCAACCAGAAAAACTCTAATCGATGTGCCAAAACCCCAAGCCACAGCACTGAAAACTGGTGAACTGCTGAAGTTTGAAACAACCACATACAAGCGTGTTTCGAAAGAGACCCAGGCTAATCCCTTCCACTTTTTCCAGGGTGTGAACTCAGCCAATATAACTTGCTCCTTGCTGCATCCATTGTTCAAAAGTTTGGATCTACTGACCACAAAAAAAGGAAGTTCCATCAGCAGTTTGCAAAGGAACAATTTGGAAGAGAAATGTATTAAATCCTCAGGGAAATTAAACCCAAATAATCCAATAACGCCATTACAAAATTAACACTAGACTATAAATTAAATTAATTGCCTTCTACTTTGGGGATTCTTGGCTACCACAGGCCAAAGCAAATGAGACCAATGATGTCAACTCCCTTAATGGAGGCCACAGGCAAGTGTGATTTTGGAGTACCCAAAAAGTTTTCCCACAATTGTTTTTCAACTTTCTGATTTATTCTGGAGATGTTTAACAGGGAGAAAGGGCTTCACTTCTGCCCATCTCAAACCTCAAATTATGGTAGGTTGGTGAGAGAGGCTAGAGGTGGTACAATTCTTTATATAAAAGGTGCCATTTTATGACTTGCTCTTTTGTGAATTCACCCCTAAGTGTCTGTAGCTAGTGTTGGAAATCAATCAATGTAAGGTCTTTTTCTCCTGAGAGGGTTGAATGGACAGGTGGGAACAAGTAATGATTTCTCTGGAAACTAGGCAGTCTAGCGATAAGGCAGGTCTTTAAGAATAACAGTCAGCTGCTCCAAAAGAGACTTGCTTTGGCATTTCAGTAAATAAGCATTTATTTCTGTAAATTCTTTTCTTATGCCATGATGTCAGTGTGCCTGTAGCAATTCGAGATTAACTACATAATATGGGCCAGGGGACTAACAAAATTAGCATGTGTGTGACTTACCAATCCTCTGCTAGGGTTCTTAAGTACTTTTAGGAGGAACGTAGGATGCGGCATCATCATAGAAATAAAATCAGGGTGATTTATACAGTTTTGCCAAATAAGGCCCACAGGGCAAATACAAAAGGCCTTGAACTGCCTCCAGCTTCTCCTGAGACAGCCAGTTTGTCAAAATGCCTATCGCATGGTCTTATGCACACCCTTCACATTACAGCTGACATTTACTCCTGAAGCTTTTTAATAACCAAACAGCATTTTACAAAAAGTTAATTAATGGCATTTTATTTGGGTACTATATGATTTAGAATTCTTTTCACACTCTTAATTTTGTTTGACATTTAGAAAATACTATGTCTAACTCTTTTGTGTGGATAAAAAAAGAGTTTTTTTTTTAACATAGCTAGCAGGTATTGAATACTTTTTTTCCTTCTCCCAAGACCTGACGCAACCACCAACAAAAGACTTCCTGTTTGAGCTCAGAGAAATGAAGCGTTCTGTTTGTTTGGAATCTTAATTACGATGGCCTCAAACTTACCTAATTAGAAGCTCCTTCATAATGAGGAAAATTATTTTCAAAGTTAATGAATTTGCGAGCAGAAACACTCCTGTCTTCCTAGAATACGTTACTCACATTCCTTACATACATATTTTAGTTAGCCGCTCTAATTAATATTAGTACTTAAACCACACGGGATTGATTTCACTGTTAAAGCAAACTTTCCTTTGTTTTTAGACAGTATAAAAAGACCATAATTTCCCTTCTTGTAGACATCAGGCTGCACACATAAGCTTAATTCTAGATTTTGGACAAAATGGATTTTATTTCAGCAAAACGACTCATTTTATTGACTTTAGCCACTTCAAGCTTGTTAACATCAAACATCTTTTGTGGAGACGAATTGATGATGTCCAATCTTTACAGCAAAGACAATTATGACAAGTATTCTAAGGTAAGTTTTCTAACTCTAATATGACTAGCATTAACTATGTAATATTTGTCCTGAATTTAACACTTTTGTAAAGAGTAAGGAATAAGTTAACTTGTGCTTTATTTTTTGTCAAACTTCAGCCTTCCCATGACAGTGTATTGATGCAACTTGTATTGTGTAGCACAACAGCAAACAGCTTGGCCTCTGGTGACAATTTTAGTACAAAGCACAAGGTGCATTAATAGTTTTCAATTGACTCAGAAGTGCACAGTTGTAATAAATAGTTGCAGAAATAAGATGTGGATACATTTCAGCTGGACATTTGAATTGTTTTCAACTACAAACCAAAAAAATATGTTTTTTTCTACCTAGCAATTTTCTATATTTTCTACCTAGCAATTACAAGCTGGCAAGTTTGTGGTAAATCTATACCTAAGTAAAATGTTTATCCCTAGATGGTGAAATTCCAAGTTATTTTTATTTTCTTCTTTATATTTTTATATATTTTCCAAATTTGCTCAAATGGGTATATACTATTTTTCACAATCAGAAATCAATCATTTAGAAATCTTCATATGGACAAATTTTCATGATAAAACTAAGTGTAATTAAACATTTTCTGTATTTTAAATGGTTCCTTTAAAGTCGGTATATTAGCGGTGCAGTAACCCACAAACTGTTTGGTGCTTTACTAAAAATGTAATTTGTGTACTAATAAAAATACAATCAGTTTCTTGAGGAATGCTTTTAGAGCGAAACTCTGAATATGAGCAAGTAAAAAAGAAATTCAATGGAACCTTCTCCAAGTGTATCCCAAAACCTGGCTACCTTCTCTGTTTCCATGTATCCACCACTTTGGTCTTTAAAGGGCGAAACACGAGACATGAAGAGACAGTGACAGATTTCTCTAAAATCAAAATATAAAAATATAAGGAAAATTTAATAAGCAACATGAATCAAAAGCTGCAAGAGACGAACTGCAGTAAAATAACTTTTGCCTCATTTCACTGCTTCACTGTGTATTGCTCCTGCTGCTCGAACAGATTGCTGTATTCACTATATATATTTTATTAATATTTTATAGTGGCCTAACAATAGTTCAGGGACAGAGAAGCTAGATTGCTTTAAGAAGCTTAATACAAATTATTTATTTAAAAATTCTGCACATGAAAACACAAACTTTGTCTATATCTTTAACAATTCTACAGATTAATGTCTGGATTTAAGTTAATTTGAGATTCAAATCTATTGTTTAACAGTAATAAATTATTTTCATGGTCATTCTAATTATAGCCTAGAGGGGACCCTAAAGGAGAAAAGGAAAGAAGTCTCAATTTTGAAGAATGGAAAGATTGGGGTCCAAAAAACGTCACTAAGATTACACCTGCAGTCAACAAAATGCCACACTCGGCAGCCAACTTGCCATTGAGATTTGGGAGGACCATGGAAGAAGAAAGAGGCCCTGGGGCAATGGCCAACCTGCCTCTGAGATTTGGAAGAAACACAGAGGAAAGCATCTCGAGACGCATTCCTAACCTGCCCCAAAGGTTCGGGAGAACAACAGCCAAAAGTGTCGCCAAGACACTGAGTGATTTGCTCCAACAATCCATGCATTCACCACCTGCCAATGAGTTACTTTACTCCATGACCTGCCAGCCCCAAGAAATCCAGAATTCCCATCAAAAACACCCAAGGTAAATACCTGAAAACCAGTTAAAATGCATGGCAGTTGTACAGAGCTGGTCCAGAAACTTTGAAAAGGATTACATCATTTCAAAAGAAGTTTCTAAGAAAGTTAAGTTTCTTAGAAGGAAAAAGGCAAAGACACAGGGAAATAAATACATGTAAATTAAGGCCAGGTATAAACATGACTACAGGTATAAAACAATGAAATGGCTTCCCCTAAGTCATCCATCTCATTACTCTATAGCCACACGTTAAGTAGGAACATGTGACGACAGGATTGGGAATTTAAGCCTATGACATATTGTCCAACATTTGACCTCTCTAACGTAAAAGGTCCCATCTGAGGGAGTTGCCTGCAAGTGCAAAGGATACCATCTCAATATCCCAGTTTTCAAATTTAGAAGGTTTTCTTCCTCAATTTTAAATCAAAATATTTCCTTTGTTTCTGGATCTCATTTTATAAATAAGTTCTGTTATAATCATTCTTTGTATTAATTAATACGTATTTATTAAGTATCTACTATATACAAATCAGAGTGCAAGGTACCACAGGAAGTTCAGAAAATTAATAAGCTACCTACCTATCATTTTCTTGTAAAGAGTATATCTAAAAAGAAAAAAAAAATTATATAAAGTAGAACAGGACACTTTAATTAAGACCTGTAGGAAGTAAGGTGGCAAGCTGTGACACCTTATCCATGAGACCTTTTCATAATACTCCTGGTTTATTTTTTACCCCAGTACTTATCCCCATCTGACATATTACATATGTCAGGTCCATCCCCTTTACTAGAATTTCAGTTCTATAACTCCCATGTTTTCTGTCCTTTACTATATCCCCAGTACCTAGAACTGTGTCTGGCATGCAGTGAGTCCTCAATATTTGACAGAATGAATGAAATGATATTAGAAGCACTAATAAAGTCCTACAGAGCGTCAAAAAGAAAGACAATGTCTCTACATGTGGGAATCTGGGGATGTTTCATGAGTTGGACTTTGAAAGGTGGTTCTATTTTGAACATTCAGAGACTGGTGGGAGGACAGAGGATGTTTTCAGGCAAAGAGGGAGTATGAGCAAAGATTCTAAAGCCAGGTGAGCCGAGAACAGCTGGAGTTCAGCTTGGCTAGAGCAAAGGGTATGTGAAGAGGAGAGGAGAGAAGGCGAGAAGGATGGGGTCAGAGCAGAGGGAGCTGACCTTCAAGGCCAGGTAAAGGACTTTGGACATTATTCATCAGGAAAAGAACGACTGAGGTTTCTGCTGAGGTCCTGAGATGTTATACAGAGGTAGAATTTTGCAACTAATCAGATGTTGGGAGTGGGGCGGTGATGAGGGAGAGTGATGAGTCAATGGTAAGTTTGTGAGTCTGAGTGCTCATTACAAATTCAGAATCCCATCAATATCTCACTCATTTCAAGGGCAACTCAATTCTACTCAAGTATAATTAGGCAATTAGGATCATGGCTTGTATTTTTATATGCTCTCACATGCTATTGTTCTGATGGATGAGAACATTTTGTACTGCTTACATTTTAGGAGACTGGGATTCCAGAAAAGAGATGATACAGAATTGAAACAAGAAAAATAAGAAATCTGGAGCCTGTCCCTAAAGACGATATGAAGCTGTGGCCTGTAATCTACAAATAACTCTCTAGTGAAGACAATGAGTGAAGAGTCCCTGCACTCTTTTAATGGGTTATCATTGAGAGCAATTTTTCCTTGTCCGTGCGGCTAGTACCTTGAAAGTTATACAAAACGACTTAAAGAATATTGTAATGTAAAGATGAAATAACTTTTGTCTAAATAAAAAGAGCATTGCAAGTACTTAAGAAGCCTCTGGTAATGGGGAGAGGAAGAGGGAGAGAGAGACGGAGGGAGAGAGAGAAGCCACGTCACCGTCTTATGTAAAAGTCATGAACCCAGTTACACTTAAGTAAAAAATTAAGAAGAGTAAACTGATAAATTTTATGACGAAAATTAAATAATTTAACAGAATAACATCATTGAGAAATAAATGAACATAACAAATCACTTACAAACATGTTTTATATACCCGTTTTTCCATTGCATCAACTGTTAGTGAATCTATGATAGATTGAAATTTTTTTAAAAATGAATCAAAGACAAAGGTAATTATTAGATACTTCTCCTCTACCTATATCTGGAAATTTGCCTTCTGTTGTGTCTCTTTTATCTTAATTTAATATTTCAAGTTTTGATTTAGAGAAAAAGTCTGGTCACTCAAACTAACAATTTATAAACACAATGCACCACAACACAAATGAATAGTGATTCAACTTTAGTCATAAGAATATGAAGTCCATAGTCAGATATAACTAGTTTATTGAGCAATCTCAAGTCCATAGGGTACAAACCAGAAATGGTATTATTTTTCTCCCATCCTGCCCCGACCTGGGCCGTGTTGAATCTCCTTTTCCTGCTGGGTAGAGATCCCTTAATGATATCCTGGACAGACTCTATAACTTCCTCATCACTTCTTGATATTAAAAAACTCAGTCAAGTCCAGTTGAAGATGCCAACCTCATCACCAAAGCAAAGGGAGGGATAGGGGTGGGAGATCAAGAGTAGCTGTCTCATCCTCTCTATAAAATGTTGCTGCTTCTTGAAATCCAGCCATTTGTGACAACATGGATGGACCTTGAGGGTATTATGCTGAGTGAAATGAGTCAGAGGGAGAAAGTCAAATACCATATGATCTCACTCATAAGTAGAAGATAAAAACCACGACAAACAAACACATAGCAATGGAGATTGGATTGGTGGTTTCCATAGGGGAAAGGGGGGGAGGGCAAAAGGGGTGTTAGGCTCACATGTGAGGGAATGGACTATAATTAGTTTTTGGGTGGTGAACATGATGTAATCTACACAGAATTTGAAATATATTACGATGTACATCTGAAAGCTATATAATGTTATAATCCAATGTTACTGCAAATAAAAAGAAAGCAGTCAAGAGTACAATCCCAATTCCAATTGCAATAAAAAGAATAATATATCTAAATTCAAAAAAGAAAATGTTGCTGCTTCTACAAGTGAGTTCTTCTGGAAGCACTACAGGGACCTTCACACTGCTCAGGTCACTGACCTAAGAGAACTGGATGCTCCTTGATCTCTTCCAACTGCTCTCATCTCATCTGTACTCCCCATAGTCTCTTATTGCCAGAAAGAAAGGTTCAAGCCAGCCACCTTCTCAGCATCTACTTGATCCATAGAAAATGCAGACACCCTTGCCATGCCAAGGGTGGGATTGTAGGCTGCCCCACACTGCCCCTATTTGTCTCCAACCCTCTTTGCCCTGCTTAGGAGGGGCAGGGGAAGATCAGCAAGTCTACTGACTAAGCAAACAATCAGTCAGAAATGAACTGCCAGTCCCCCCTTCATGACTCCACTCTCCATGAATGATTTTCTAGGAACCTCTCTTGCTTGGCTTTGGAGTGAGAGGCATCTGCTTCAGGTCCCCTCCAGGCCAACTTCTCACACACAGCTGGGAGAGGCACAGACCGAGGCAGGGGCTGGTGTGGCTCTGACACCTCTTCACAAACCCTGAAGTAGTGTCTGGCCCCTGCCAACCATGGTTTTCATTATAATGTCAAGTATCTAGTGCTGCTGTACCTGTAGATTTGGTCCACAGTCGCCCATTCTGAGCAACAGAGAAATTATCATGTAACATCCTGCTACACTAGTAAAGAAAAAGAAAGAGCCACTTTATCCCTTAATACTATACAACACAAGGAAACTTCCTGTCATAGAACATGGGTTCTTTACCTAAACCTTTGAAATTTATGGAAAAGGTTAAGTGAATAACCAGGTGTCAGCGGTCCCCTTACCTACTTGGCTTACTCTGTTTTAGTCCTTTTCACCAGCTGCCACAAGAAATCCATTCACATGGGGAATTTTGCGACTTCTCTGGGATCTTGGGGAGGAGTCACATTGCACAGCATTTCACTGACAGAGTCTTGATTAGACAAGCCTCTTCTCCCAAGTCTCTCTTTAATTGGACCCGTAGCAGGGTGCCCTTCTCTTCTGACCTCTGTGGCTCAGCCCAGGGTGGCTTTATGGGCATGCAACCCATGCAGTCACACAGGGCCCTCACTTAGTTAAATACTCCACTGTCACTGTCTTGAAATTCTTAATTTTGAACAAGGAGTCCTACAGTTTTATTTTGCACTCGGCCTCACATTACGTAGCCTGTTCTGGTCCTCCTAAACTTCGTCCTGCTGGCTCCTCTGCCCATACCCCCAGCATCCAATTCCTCCCCATGTTTATTAATCAGAGTAGCTTCCATTTCCTACATGAAATTCAAGGGCCAGCCTGTCATGCAGGCTTGGGAGGTCTGCTTACATCCTGCAGTGGGTGTAAAATATAACTGCACACCTCATGAAATATGGTCAAAATGCATATTTATTTTTATGTCCCACTACCCCCTTTAAAATGTAAGGGATGGGGAAGGGGTGTGAAGAAATCATCTCTGGTCCTGGATGGAAATTTGGGCAGATGTCATGAACTTCGTTGCTGCTCTTAAGTGATGTCAGAACTTTGGCCTCTCTAAGTCCAAAACACACATTCTCAATTCCAGTGTGATAAACATTTTAATTTGCATTCAGCCATTCATTCATTCATTCTCCACTGTTCCCATTGGAAGCCAGAGTTGGGGGACAAGAGTGTGGTTGACTTCTGCTTCTCTTCCAGCCTCACCTGCTTCCTCACTCTCTGGCCACTTTGTTGGACTTTGCTGGGAAGGAAGAAAATTTCAGAGGAGAGACAAGAGGGAGGACAGTTGTTACCAGGCTCGATGGATTCAGTCTGGGGACCCAGAGGATGGTACCTCCCACTATTGTTGGACCCTCTCCCTGCAACTGTTCTGTCTCCCAGGATATCTTTCAATCCCCAGGCTGGCCTCCACCCTCCCTCTCACAGGCACTCACTCCATTACGCCCATTTCTTTCCCAGGGGTCCTCTTGAGTAGGATTCAAAATAGCTTCTGTAAATCTCTTTTTCCCACAGCCTATATCTGATCACCCATGGCTCTCCCTCCACACTGGGTGTGGTTCCAAGATGCCTCTTCTGTTCCACTGCCCCCAGAACTCTTTAGCTTTTGGCCTGGAGTTGAGTACCAGTCCTTTCTTTCTCTCAACCACATGGAACATATTTCCTCATCATAGGGAAGCCCCTCCCTGGTGAAGAGTAAGGGATGCAGTAATCTCAGACTCCTGGGTGTGGGTAGGGGGCATTTACAGCAAAGCAACAACACTCTCCCAAGAAATCCCTTCATAAACCCAAATCCTATCCTTTTATAGTCTCCAAGTGGGTAATGGAATTCAGGATGGGTGGAACAACTTGCCAAACACTTCTTTCAAAAAGTCTGCAAATGGTGATATGGCTTTGGAATTTTACATCTATTAGATTTTGGTGTTCTGGTTAAAACTTTACTTTTGACATCATTTGCAACAGAGATGGATCTCTTCTTAAAAGGAATGCTTACAGTTGCTAAAAATGACATTTTCTCTGAATCATCAGACATATATGTGCATTTTCTGGGGAGGGAGTTTACACTTCTTGGGTAAATTCTCAGTGGGGTTTGTGATCCCATAAAGTTTGAGCATCACTGCAATAGAAGATTTTTATTTCCAGATTTATTTTAAATTGATATCTAATTCAATTTATAAATGAACATTGTTATCTGATCAACCATTTCACTGCTGAGAACATAATGCCAAAACAATCAGAATCACTTAAGTGGTTTAGCCCAATATTCCTACAAATACTGTCTTTTTCCAGTAGCATAAAATAGAGGTGAAGAGGTAATTAAGCTCTTCTCCTCAGCGTGCTCTCCCAGGCACATCCCCCAAATACCCCATTATTTATCCCTCCTCTTCTTCTCCAACACTTCCCTTCCCCAAGGAAATTCCATTTGGATTGGTTCTAACTTAAACCTCAGCCAGCCTGTAAAGGTGAGTAGGGTGTGGGGGGTTTGAGAGAAAGCTGGGGATAACACATTATACGTCAACAATTTTCATGGAAGTCGACTTTCATGTGATCTCAGGTTCACATTTCATACATCATACTATGACAATGACCTTGAGAATATAAAAAGGAAAAAAAAAATGTACCGACTCTGACACAAATTTCTCAGCAAGAAAAATGAAAGGTCAGTGTTCACCTAGGTGTGACCAACAAAATGAAATAGTCAAGAAAAGTGAGAGTATTGGCCTCCACTTACTTCATGTGTGCTTTTTCTTTTTCTTTTCTCCTAAAGATCTTCCCGCAAACATTATGTCACACTCTTCCTTTGGAACTTAACATATTTAATAAACATACCAAACTACATGTTATTCCCTGGAAACAGGCACTGTCACATTTTTGTGCCTTTGTCTAATTCCTTCAGCTCAAAGGCCACTTTTGTACATATCAAAATCCTTCAAGACCTGTGTCAAATTCTGATGCAGCCGCATGTTACAGACAACCCAAATTACATTATTTTCACCAAATGAGACATTTTTTTCCTCACACAAAAATGTCTGGAAGAAAGCAGTTCTGGGCTGGTGTGGGAATTCCACAGTCACCAAGGATCCAGATTCCTGCCATCTTTCTGTTCCACTGTTCTAAGCACATGGCACCCACCAGGCCATCATGTCCCTTCCAGGCAGCAAAACAAAGGAGCAAGGCAAAGGGGTGTTCTTTTTCCAAAGGGACCATTTAAAGATCACCATCAAGAGTGACATCAGCAACATGGCAGAGTGAGCCGTTCCTTTTGTCTCTCCTCCTCTGAATTACAACTAAACAGACATTCATCAAACAATGGAGGATACCCACACAGCACAACAGGATGCCTGAGAGATCCACACAGCTATACATCCAAAGATGGATGGACTGGATCTCTGGGAAGCAGTAGAGATAAGTGAACACACCTCTCCCCCTCCCTGGCAGCAGCAAGCCAGGTCACAGGTCCCCACACAGTGGCTGGCACTACTCTAGGAGGATGTGGTGGCAGTTAGGTGCATGCGTGAACACTATCCCAGGCTGCAGGAGTGCCCAGTATGGCACAGCAGTCCCACCAGTGGGAATGCTCCCTGGCATGACTGTAGGAGGAGGTGGCAGCATCCCTGCACACATGCAAATGCTATCCCAGCC